CTTTTCTCTGTTTATCATGATGTTGCTTATTGGTCCAGTTGTGAGGATTTTTGTTTTCTTTATGTTGAGGTGTAATCCATCCTGAAAGCTGTTATCTTTCATCTTCATCAGTAAGTGCTTCAAGTCCTCTTCACTTTCAGCAAGCAAGGGGTGAATTAGATACAAGTTTTTTTTATAGTAGTTAATGATTGTAAGACTTTTATGAAAAATTCTAAAAGTTAATTTTTAATGTACAGTAAATACAATGGGAACTCACATATGAATCAATTTTTATCCATCTGCCTTAGTTAGCCTATCTGCTATTGTTAAGTTACTAATTATCAAATTATGCCAGATTTCATTACTACAAAGATAGTCTCACTGTTATTGTTGTTAGCTGCCATGGAGTTGGGCCTTGACTCATGGTGATCTCATGCACAAATGAATCAGACCGTTATGATCCATAGGGTACGGTGACGGTCTAAATTATATTTCCTCACATTATATCAAGGAACTGGTGTGTAGGTTTTGCTTCCCACAGTAGTGGACAGTATGTTTTAACTTTAAATGTAGCAATTCATTCCATGTTTGCTCTTCTCTCTTGGACACCAAGCCAGCTACCTGTCCCCATCTTTTCCTCACCCTCCCATTCTGTTGCACGGTCGGCCGTGTAGTATCCAGAGAGCTGGACCTGAATACCAATCTTCTTATTAAAGGAAAATAATCTATTTAACTGTCAATTTTATAATATTTCTCAGGGAGTGATGTGTTTTCCCAAGTTTTAAAATGGGTACATTTAATTGTATACAATGTATATAGGCTATTACTTTCTTTGGAGATAAACATTATGATGCAGGGCCATTCATATTTAGGGAAGAACAGAATAATATGCTAATGTTCCCACCTGTAGGAAGTGCTCAACGACCTGTTGAGTTGATGGGGTAAACTAGTTTTTCATGGTCAGGGAAATGAGGTCATCTGGTAAAGTCAGCATTCTGGTTCCTAGAGAATTAGCATAAATTCATATACTGATGATCAATTTCCAAACAATCAGTATATATTACAATGCAATATAATTATGCTGATTCTAATTTAGTCTTTGTTTTGTGATTCAGAAGTGCGTTGAGGGCATTATATTGGCTTTTTAACCTCATGTGGAAGTTGTCATTAATAGAGTATTCTAGTGACTGTTGGAAACGGGGAGTTCATTGCACTTTTTTTGCCTCAATATTCTCTATGGTGGTGAATATAGTGCCAGTCACCTGGACAATCTGGAGACTTGTTCTGTATTTTATTTTACTTTTCGATAATGCCTAAACTGCTGGGAGATAGTTTTAAGAAATTCTTGTAAAGTATATTCAAGTAATAACATTATTCTAAAATATAAGTTGCTATTAGATTTCAATAAAGTCGCGTTTACTGACTCCTGATCAGTAAGTCATTAGCAGGTATATGTGTAATATAATAGTTAAAGAATTTAGAAGAGTCACTAGTTTTAACACTGGTGTGCTGCTAAATGTTTAACAACTGGCTCCCTTTTGGGATAAGGGTAAAATTCTGACATGTAACATTTGTCGATTTCCATGGTGTAAATACTCTCGCTATGACCAATTTCTCAAACAAACAAGATGATATCATTGTGCCTGGAACTGGGAAGAAATGTGCAGAACTGGCTCTTGTAAGGTGGTGCAAGCCAGCTCCAGCAGACTACTGGAGGAGAAGTTTAAGAAAGGGAAACCAATTGAATGAGTTAATATATGTAAAACATTTACAACATCTAGCACTGTAAACCCTAAATACAGTAATGGTTTGCCATACAGTGGTGTGAGGTTAGATATGGTGGGATTGGAAGAGCACCTCTTCAGTTAGTTGGGGTTTGGGAAGACACTTAAAAAAGTAATATCAATAAGGTAGTCAAGAAACTGATAACACCCAAGAAGATTATTTTTATAATTATGACAGTGAGAATTTTTTTGTTTTATAATGCTACTACTGAATTAGACCGTTTCTTAATTACAGGCAACTGAGGGTTTGTTCTCTGTGAAGTTGCCATCTCCTGTCTGGCTTTGGAAGACTGATATATTTAGCCTGAAGAAGTCAATGGAGATTGTGCCAGTGGAAAATATCTTTGTGCCATGTTTTGAATTGTCATTATATGCTATCAATAAAAAATTCCTTTTGTCAATGAAAAATTCCAAAAAGGTATAGGAGGACCAGCATAAGACATTGCCTTAGCTGTCTTTCTGGACTGGCCACATGTAAAAAATACTTCTGGTCATTGTTGAAGGTTGTAATTGACGCTCTACAAACGTGGCCGAACTCTTACCTCCTTTTGTTGAGGTTGTGAGAGGAATCCACAGCTTTAAAATCTAAAGGCAGCTAGAACTCCCTAGAAAAATGGAAAGCACCAGAAACTCCTTGAAAAACAAATTCATAGACTTCAAAAGTCTATATTAGTGGCCCCAAAACCATAGTTTTTTGTTTTTATAATTTATATTAGGCTACTTCCAAAAGTGGATTTGAGATTATATAAGTTGACATAAAATGATATAAGCTGGTAAGCTTTTAGTTATCACCGTTAAGAGCAATTGGTTTTAAGACATTTAATATCATTCCCTACTCAGCTATATTATCTGCCTAATGGCAGGGAGAAATACTTGCCATACTTACGTCTTAGGGTTACTGTGAGGATAAAACAAGGTAGTGGATACGAAAGTCCTTTAAAAAGGTTAAAGCTCTCCTCAAAATAGGTTGTCATTATTACGATATCTTTAACAACTTCGTCATTGCTAGAACATTTGGAAATATGAAACTAGACATATGTCAAACTAAGTGTATTGATCTAGTAATGGGATGATCCACATATAATACACCCTGCATTTTCTCTTGAAATTGTCAGTATTCAACTGACAGTTTCACCATGTATAGTCAATTTTCATCATGTGAAAGCTCAAGAAATCAATTTCTTAGTATATTTGCTTATTGAGAAGCATCCTCCAGGCCCAAGTAAGCCATTTTCTTTTGTAGGGGGTAGGAATGCAGAAGTAACTAAATAAACCAGTCAAACAGTTCTGGTAAAAAGAAAAAAATTAACTTTTATGATTTTATTTATGAATAAGTAAAAAAAAATTATCTAGTTACTTCAACAATACACTAAAATGTATACAATCACACCTTTTCATGTGAATGGCACCAAAACTGACTCAGTTCATAAGTAAACCATGGACCTTACTTTACAAAATGGGTGTTAGGTTTTCACAGCGGTTATCAAGGGGAAGTATTTCTGTAGGGAAAATAAATGTGTGAGTTGTGCCTGATAGTTTCAAAATGCATCGGTTTATGTTTATACCACCACTGAGCCAGGTTTCATTACAAATAGGCGTCAAAAACATAATACCATAACCTCCTCAATTATTTTATTGAACAAAGTGTGGTATCAGTCAATCACTCAGTAGAACAGTAGAGCATCTGTCTTCGGGCTAACACTGGCTGAGATTTCTAGCCAGATATACTGCCATGATTTTATTGTTATGGGATATGGAAGAGGAGACTAGAGAACGTTCTGAGAGGAGAAGACCATGCTGAGGGTGTGGAAGGAATGGTGATTTCTCTTTTTAACACGAGCATAATCTCACGAGCTTGGAAAGTGTGAAAACCCCAGTTAGTAGCAGAAGAGAAGGGAAAAAGAGACCCACTGAATGTTTCTCAGGAAGCAATGTTCATGGTGCACTGTGAATGGTTTCCGCTATTTACGTTGAGTT